TTCTTTACGCCATTTGTGTCTGTCTTTCCAGCAGTGATTGGGGACCTGGATGTTAGTCGATTTGCAGATCGTGTTCTGGGATGATGGTTAGCCAGTACAGTTGGCGAGTTGTCCGGTCGGTCTTCTTGGACTATTCCTTGACACTGGGTCATGCAATTCGTTAACTCAGGATGTGGTTGTTGTGTTGGTGACAGCTTCTACACCTTAAACAAATTTGCGCCTAGGTGGCTTTTGGGCCGGCCATCCTCGTTACGCTGTGATAGTGAGATTTTAAATTTTTTCTATAAATACAGTATGCACATAGTATATGTATACAGTATAGTCTGGATTTACGCGGATTTTTACGCGTTTGGTCATTTACGTGGTGCCTTGCCAGAATGAAATGTTTTAATTACTCGGTAAATTTCATCATTTAGCAGGAAGCGGCACGGGCAGGGTGCGCACTAGGTCGCCCAGTCATCAAAACATTACCGAGTTCTTCACCCACCACCCACCACAGCCGGCCCAAGTCAGTGATAGTGAGGATGTGAACTTTGAGGGATTTGACAAAGAGGCCCTGCAAGCCTCTGTAGTGGATAGTGATACAATTGATACAAGTGATACAGGTGAGGGCCAATAATCTGCCCTCTGCCTCGGAACCAACCCCCCATCCCCGTGTGCCCAGCCATCTTTTCTACTAATGTAAGTGTTAAAAAACCTAATATTATTGATATTTCTCTTAATTATTAATTGTGTGTGCATACCATCATAAAATTAAGAAGTTATTTTTACTACAACGTAGGTATTGTGTCTGAAAAAGTGGAGTTTGGGGGTCGGCCTGGTGTCTATTTCAATTAATCCCATATGTTGTTCACTTTACGCGGGCCGCCGTGGGTTCAATTGACCGCGTAAAGTGAGGGTTCACTATATATATATATATATATATATATATATATATATATATATATATATATATATATATATATATATATATATATATATATATATATATATATATATATATATATATCCAAAACGTGGATAGGATAAATCTTGATAAAATCACACGTTGTTTCCATTTTCCCGTGTGATATATATATACATACATACATATATATATATATATATATATATATATATATATATACTGTATATATACTGTATATATACTGTATATATATATCGGCTTTGGGAAAGATTTTCCAAAGGGCACATTTTTCCTGAAAATTCCGTGAAAAATTTCCCGTTACCCCAAAAATTTCGGGGATGGGGGATGTTTTTCTGGGTTAATATAATGGGCAATTTCTGGAACTAACGAGAACATTTTCCCGTTACCCGGAAAATTCTGGAGAGAGATTTTTTCCGGCCTTCAGAGAGTCGTCTCGTTACCCGGAAGTGCTCTGCACCAATTGTTCCAGCTAACGGGGATATCACTGTATATCTTATTTTTTTTTTCTTTGGGCTCTGGGATGCTCTGGTCACCAGAATTAATAATAAAAAAAAATTAATGTACAGTGAGTCTAATGAGATTTACTATAGGCTTACTGAGACACTTGAGTATGTAAGCAGGCTGGGGCTGATCAGGTGTTACCACATTCGTTAAGTTTATTTATTGATTCACTATTATATTCTCATGTGATTGGCCTCTTATGGTTTATCATGATTAATATAACATCTTTAATAGAGAAAAAATACATTACTGTATGTAATTTGTAATATGGCTTGAAAATAAAAGGATAAGCTGTATCAGCAGGCTATTTACTCAATCAAGATGCATTCGTGTGAGCTTTCTGCAGACTAGCTTCAACAGGGGTCACTATGACACCCTGTACAGGGTGTTACAGTATTTGATATGAAGATACCTTCTTAAAAATGCTATTTACTACCTTTAAGCATTATATATGATGACTCAGTTTGACTACTTGTACACTTAGACGAATGATTAGTGAATAAATCAGGGTAGATGCATTATACTGTACTCTACTAATTTACCAAGTGTTGAAGACAGACATTGTGGTAGGCCGATCAACTGTTTGCTCTTTGTAAACAAATGAGTATGAAATGACTCGTGGTATTTAGTGTGGGATTCTTTAAGGATAATATTTTATCAACCTGGCACAAAAGACCCTAAATTATATGAGAATTGTGGTGGAATTGCATAAAGAAGTGTTAAAGGAGTGTTTGGGGGAGGGAGACACCCACCCATGCTGCCCCCTCCCACCCCCCTCCCCCACCAGCTGCTTCCAGATAAACGTTCATCTTCTACTTACAATATACTCCTACACTTATTTGTTCATATTTTTATCTTCATAATACTGTACAGTATAGTTTTCTCTATTCATAAGACAAATTCTGTAGTTACTTACACACCCCTGTAATACTTTACAGTAAATAACAATCATCTCGGTGACAACCAGACGTGTATGTCTGATTTTCAACCCAGAGTTGTTTCATATTTTTTTCTTGTTGATGTAATATTCTTTTAATAACCTTGTTATACACTTAAAGACCTTAGTTGTTGAAGTGCGGTATTAACATAACAGCTGATTTTCTTTAAACAGTTCAGATACCGTATATACTCGTGTATAGTTCGAGTTTTTAAGAGCAAATTTTTAGGCAAAAAATTGGGGGTCGTCCTATACATGCGTAATAGTTTTGTTAGGTTGAACCCGTGCATGATGGGAAGGGCGAGGAGCAACTTTTAGCTTCAGACATGAAAAATATTTACCATTTACTGCCAGTAAACAATGGAAACGCAAAATATGTACCAATTAGTAATGAAAAGTTGTGCAGTTCCTTCAGTAAATGAAGCTCACCAACTTACAATAGACTAAATTACCTTACAACGTGCTTTCAGTAGTCAATGTTGAAGTTCTTAGCACAGGCTAACTTATCATATCATATACGGTATCCCAGTTCTCATTGATCTACAAAAAATACCGGTAATAAAAACCTTTTCGATATTTCACACTTAATATAATACCCGATAATCTACTTCAACCTCCTATTGTTTACAACGACGCATCACGCACCACCAGCTGTATCAGCTAGACGGTACACGTGTTTTTCGAATCGTTTTCAGTAAAAAAAACTGTTACATCACATGTATATTTTACCTTAACTGTGCCTGAATGAATATATTCTCGGAAATAAATAGTAATTTTGCTGAAACGTGATGTATTTTAATGTAAAATAGGATAAAATACATGACGAAAACAAAAGATTTCACCTAACCTTCCGATGTTTAAGAGAAGTTGCTCGTTTTTTTAACAGTTTTTGGTTAAAATATTGTTATATTACAATGGTATTCTATTCATACTGTGCTTGATATAATGCATTCATGGAAATGTAATATTTTTGCTGAAATGACGTACGTATTAGTGGAAAGTGGGATAAAATCGTGACAAAAACAATGACTTTCGCTTTCTTTTGTTCAAAAGATGTTCCCGTAATCACTTTTCGAATGGTTTTCAGTTAAAAAAAACTGTTGCATTACGATAATATTCTATCCTAATTGACTTGAATAAATACTACGATACCATATTTCTGAATATTTTCATTAAAATCCATCAAAATCAATTTCCTTGTCATCGTCTGCAGCACCAAACAGCTTCTCCCAGTCCTCTCCTTGAACAGGGCTAGAGGGTACGTGTTTTTCGAATCGTTTTCAGTTAAAAAAACTATTACACCACACGTATATTTTACCTAAACTGCGCCTGAATGAATATATTCTCAGAAATAAATAGTAGTTTTGCTGAAACGTGATGTATTTCAATGTAAAATAGGATAAAATACATGACGAAAACAAAAGACTTTACCTAAGCTTTTGTTCTTGAGATGTTACTCGTTTTTTTAATAGTTTTCGGTTAAAATTCTGTTATATTACAATGATATTCTATTCATACTGTGCTTGATATAATGCATTCATGGAAATGTAATATTTTTGCTGAAATTACGTACATATTACAGTGGAAAGTGGGATAAAATCTTGACGAAAACAATGACTTTCGCTTTCTTTTTTTCAAAAGATGTTACCATAATCGCTTTTCGAATGGTTTAGTTAAAAAACTGTTGTTTTACAATACTATTCCCTCCTAATTGACTTGAATAAATACTTGAATGGAAATATACAATATTTTTGTTGAAACTACCTGTGTTTCAGTGTGAAGTGTCGTAATAATAAATGGTAAACAATTTGCCTTCGGCACTCGTGTTTCATGCACGGCGAGCCTCAGTTTATAGGACGGAGAGCGTTTTTAGTGAAGGTTTTGTTCCATTACCCTCAAAAACGTGGGTCGAACTATAAACGAGGAATATCGTAAATTAACGATTTCTTGGTCAAAAAATCAGGGTCGACCTGTAAACGAGGGGGGGTTATAGACGCGTATATACGGTAAGCAGTGTTATCTCCAACCCCCAGCCCCATATATTCACTTTTCTCTAATTTTCGAATTTTTCGGACTGGGGTTTACCCCAATTAGTCCGACTTATCAAGGTTCTACTGTACTTTATTATTATTATTATCATCATCATCATCACTGTCAAAATGATTGGGTTATATACTCTTTCAGACAACAGATGAAGAAAAGAAGGAGGAAGAGGAAGTCAAAGATGAGGAAAAGATGGACACTAAAGAGGAGGCAGTAGAAGAACATAAGAGTAAGGAAGATGTGGAAACAAAGAAAGAAGAGGTGGAGGAGAAGCAGGAGGAAGAGAAAGAAGAAGAAAAGGAAATGCCTGCAAAAACAGAAAAAGTAAAGCCAGTTAAAGAAACAATAGAAAAAGAAGCGGTAAACATAACACCAACAAAAGAAAGTAAGTAGAGTTGCAGCATTTAGGGCTTCTAAACAGAACCAATCGGATGCACAACCTTGGTAGATATTGGGTAACATGGGTGATCCTCCCACATTTCAGTGGACTGCATCCTTGAAAATTTCATCCAAGTGCAAAAGCCAGAATATATATATAATTACATTTCCAATATTTTATTGCATATATATATATTTGTTTTTTATTTAACATGATATATACTGTATTAGTATTATTTCAGCATAATGACAGTCAATTGTAAGTAGTGTACTGTATGCTGTATTGTGCTGATAATTCAGCACCACCCCTATTACCATATTTGGAGAATTTTTTCTTTTTATGTGCTGGATAAGTTAAGTCTTAAATTAAACAAAAACATATTTTGTAAATTATGCAAATAGCTATGAAGGTACTGCAATTCAAAATGAAGAAAATGCTTACCGGTAGTAATTAAAAATAATACTGTACAGGTATTAGCAACTATTGGTTGCCGAGCCAGGTGCACCTCATTTTCTATAATTATGTACTTACGGCAACAATCAACAGAAATCGTGCAAGTTGCACTGTGAACCTCAATGTTGCAGGTTGCCCATCACTGCTGAAACCCTGTAGAGGGCAAGGTTTTCTCTTAGTTGAATAAAGTTGTCTGGCATTAGCCAGAATAAAATATTTAAGTGTGCCACTGCCCTCTAAAGGGTTAATCTTAAATGGTGTACAGTCACAATCCAAAGTTTCTTTATCCCCCCTGGCTGGAGGGAAGGCGAAGCCAAGGTTGAAGAAAGGCCAGGCGTATGGACATACACTCGTTTGGTAGTTTGGTGATGAGGCACGATGATGTTGAGGCTCACACACCAGCACCTCAACACAGTCACTCAGGCAAAACACACAAGCACAGGTATGAAATATGATTCAAAACATTGACATAATATGGTATGTTAGTAGGAGTATAATTAATTTATGGTTACTGTACAGTATTTATACATACAACAGCACAGAGCATAGTGTATCCATTCACCTGGTCTTTCTTCCACCTCGGATTCACCTTTGAATTGTGACTGTACCTGCTAAATGTAAAAAAAAAATAGTTTGAACTCAACAAACTGGCACAATTGGATGGCACCTTTGCAATTTGAGTCAATGGTTATATTGTAGTCAGGTCGTGTGATTGTATTTTGTCAGGTAAACCTGTTTATTATTGTACTCCTGACTGTCATTCTTGTATAGTGTATATGTGGGACAATGATATAGTGTTACTAGTGACTCAATATCATAATTATTGTAACAACTGCAGTCCATAAGAAAAAAGTATAAATAAGGAACTATCTATAGTAATTAGTAAGAGGGTGATGTTAATGCCCAGGGATCTCAGGTGCCACATGTGATTATACCTGTGACCTATGGCATGTGACAGTTAAATGCATAAGTTTTTCATTCTTTGGTTTTGTTTTACATCATCTTTTAAGGCTTTAAACAATAAAAATTCAATTTATGTCAGTGTACTGTACTTGGGTACTGCAATACTGGCTAGTATCTCACCAGTGAAAAGGATATTATCAGTAATAGGACATATGCACATTATAGTGATGCAAAATTGACATTACCAAATTTTATGCAACGTACATATGAATTTTTTTTTGGTGTGTGATAGTTATGAAATGTTTATTCTGTTTTTATCATATAATCAGAGTACAGTACTGAAAGAATCATACCAGACATCACAACTGTTTTTAACCTGCCCCACTAAAACCTGACAGCATATCCCAGAGGGGTTGTGATTTTTCTTCTGAGAAAGGGGTGGGGGAGGGGGACAGCATGTTACATGTTTTTCTTTGAGGGAAATATGTTAAATAATAATAATTTTAATGATGATAATTTCAAGGATAATCTGCAATACGGTAAGAACCTGAAGAGAGCCACTCACAAAATCTACCGTCAGTAGCTATATAGTAATTATGTTGACATACCGAGTGCTGTATGTTTGGGAAAACAAAGCCTTTGTTTCCGGACACTGGTAACTAACTGTCTACTAGTAGAATTGAGCCTCCCTCTACAACATGAATAAGATCAATGAGTTGCTCACTTATTTCACTGCCAGACAGCTTGTCATCACTCTCTTAAGTCTTGTCTGTCTGGTATATACTACACCAATACTGTAGTTGTCATCAGTTGCATTTTTTTTTTTTTTGCGCACAAACATGTAAAAACAAAAAAGACCAGAAAAAAAACTGAGCTTGGAGGCCAGTCCCCGTTCTCACCTATGCTTAAAGTGTAAGTCAAGTCCTATAGCACTCGCCTTATGGCCAGGCATGTCTTGGCATATGAGCTGTCATAGTCCAGTCAACCAGGCTCTGCATTTTGTACTTAACACATAAGGCATGGTCCCCAAAGGGAGAAAATAGCTTTCAGTATCATTGCTGCAGAATGTTTTTCCAAAATTTCTGGTACTGTACTTAATTACTAAAATGCATACATATAGAATTAATGTCTATTGCATTTTGGAGGTGTGGAAAAAGTGTGATAGCGAGTTGACCAGGTTTGCGGAGAGTCTGGATACATTTATAGAAAAGAAAGTGAAAGATTAGTAGAGTGTATAATATGAGGTGTAAAGAACCAAAAGGGGAAGTACAATACTTCAAATTTTTTGAAAATGTGCTTTAAAATTTGTGCAAATATAAGTTGCTATAGCACCATACAAAATGCACATATGTACACTCGGTAAAAAAAAGTATCTTTACAATTCTTGTGCAAAACATAATGACACCACAAATAGAGGTTTTTGATAAAGGCCCATGAGGCATACTGCTATTCACCAATCATATTGCAATGAACTAATTTTATATTTTGAATGAAATAACTAAATTTGACTTGCCATAAAAGGTAAGAAATGTCTCAATTACACCTATCAACCCTAGCAAGGATTGTCCGAAGATTAAATATAACTCGTGAAACAGTATGAGAGGCAGAGCGCACCAAAAGTTTCAGCCCTTCAGCATATATTTTCACCAAATTTTATGACACGACTTCTCTCTTTCATTCTACATGTTTGTGGTATCATTTTGAACCTAAACATTCCCTTTAAAATGGCTGGCAAGCATAAAAGAGAGTTCTTGTGGTGCTGAGAAGAAAAAGAGACACCCATTTTAGAATTTCTATGTATTATTTTCACCTTTTCGACTTACAACCTGGTCGTCCAGACCGAACCCCGTCGTAAGTTGAGGGCAGCTTTGACCCAAAATTAGATTCCATTTAAAATCTTAGTATAGGTACTTCTGAGCATACCGATTCCGAAATTATGGTTCACGATTTGATTGCGGGGTAATTGGTGGTCGTAATGATGCTTGGAAATTTTTTATTATATTATTTCAATGCTAATTACTCACCAACTATGGGTTTCCAAGGTGAGAGTTACCTAGGTGTTTTTGTGTTATTCTGGAAGTATTTAATTGGTTAAACTGTGTGATCATCACCCATGGCCCCACTTGGATTTACCCAATCTTAGTTAATTCCCAAGTGACCACCCACTGCCACATAGGAGCTAATCTATCAAACAGACAGTGCCAAACTTGGCCAGTAAACTCACACAAGTTACTTACTCTTAGGTGATGAGACATTAATGAATTGTGTGTGAAGATTATTCTTTAAATAAATACAGTATTGCTTTACTCACTATAAACTGGCTGCATCTACCTGAACCATGGGCCACATTAAATAGAATTTCTCAATCACTCCACGGGCCGCACAAACACATGGTCCAGGCCACGGGTTGCCCATGCCTGTAATAGAGCATGGGTAAGAGAAAATGGAGTTGCACTAAATGGATATTGCCACCCCTGGCGGGTTTGCCCTTTTGGCATTGAACACCTCATACTGTATATAGGTGGACAGCAAGAGGGGGAGAAGACAACCAAGGATGTGGATGGTTGGATGAAGGATTTTAGAAGTGAGGGGGAATGAATATCCAACAAGCAGTAGTATATATAAATAATATAATATTCGTGTGGCTTATGAGTATAATATAGCAATAAAAGTGAATGGATGACAGCATATGAAGAGTCTTGTATTTGTTCTTGGTTCAGCCACACTTACAGTTTACTGTAGTGGGGAAAGGCCAGCGGTTATGAGAAAAAAGGCAAAGAAAGAACAAAATGAATTTATTTCAAAATATAATCTGTGTGTAAAGGGTCTAGAAAGATATTAAATAAAAGATTTCATCTTATTTTGTCAGGTGAAGTGCCCTTGTATGATCAACCACTGGAGATGAGTGGCAAACGTGACCGCAAGAAGGTGGAAAGGTTTGTACAGGAGACAAAAAAAGAGGATGTGGAGTCCACAGGAACTGGAACGGCACTTGGAGATATTCCCTTTATTGAAGCCATGATCATGGTAAATAGTAGATGGTTATAAAGTTGTCTTGGTCAGTTACAAAGGGTTGGTGTTCATAGGGCTGGCTGGTGTAGTTGAAAATGTTTACATCTTATACTGGTGTAGGATTTTTATTTCTTGATATTATTTAATGGGCTTCAGAATTATTTATCCTGAAATTTGGAAAATTATGCTCCTCATTTTATTATATCCAAGAATTTTCCATAGAAGCTGTTAATGGAATAGCAGCCTACTTACAATGGTCTCAATTAAGTAAAATCAGATTATTTAGTTTACTTGTGTGTGTAGGGTGAGGGGGATGCCTTATCTTAGTTCAACCCATGCAATTGTGAGTGAGTGTCACTAAAAATTGAAAAGTGCTGTGGTGATTCTTCAGAGTGAAATCTTGCAGGACAAGGGATTGATGTGCTTAACTTCACATAACATTATTTCTTAGAATAGTTGGTTGTATGGGAATGTTACCTTTGTGTTACACTAAATGTGCTGTACAGTGTTCATTTTTATTTTTTTTTTTATATATATATACACACCCGCTGACAGAGATGATCATATACATGTTTATATGATAGTAAATTGTCAAGATCTGATTTGGTTTAAATGCACTTATGTATATATGCTTAGAAGTTTTGAAATCATATTATTCTATGGCTTGCCATAATTTTCAGTAGCATGTTATTAGTTTTGGCAATGTTGTGAAAATATCAGATAAGGGAAATAAATTGTCTTAAACCCCCTCCCCCTTCTCTAGTGAGTGCACTTAAGGACCATTGGGAAAAGTTACCTGGAGTAGTTTGTTCATCAATATGTGTGTATGTATTGCATGAGCAGGAATATACAAAAACTGTCCAGTCCAGTTTAGACCTACAGCATTTATTATAATTTTTGTCTATATCTGCATCAATGGGTTAACAGGTTGAACGTTCAGAGTATAGACCCACTCATCTCTTATATATATATATATATATATATATATATATATATATATATATGCAAATAAATCACTGTAGGTGTGCGTGATCTAGGTATATGCTGATAACCACAAGGAAAGAAAACACGAAGTTCCCAAAGCTTTTCGTGAATTACACGGCAGGCATATATATATATATATATATATATATATATATATATATATATATATATATATATATATATATATATATATATATATATATATATATATATATATATATATATATATATATATGTGTGTGTGTAATGTAGATCCACAATGGAAATGTGGACAGGATAAATCTAGATAAAATCACACAGAAGGGAAACAATGGAGCACCTCAGCTGTTGTGTTTATTCAAGACATCTGAAGATGTCTCGAATAATGACAAAAGCTCAGTTGCTCCATTGTTTCCCTTTTCCTGTGTGACACTCTCTCTCTCATATATATATATATATATATATATATATATATATATATATATATATATATATATATATATATATATATATATATATATATATATATGTATATATATATATATATATATATATATATATATATATGTATATATGTATATATATATATATATATATAATATATATATATATATATATATATATATATATATATATATATATATATATATATATATATATATATATATAAACTTTTTCTTTTTACTAATACTTTTTCTTTTTACTAATTGAAAATTTGATATTTTGCAGAAAATGTCTACAGATGAACTTAAAGTATTACACAGAGTTGCGTACAGTCGTCCAGGGAGTGGTAGTGAAATAAAGAAGAATCTTCGCAAATTTAACGGATTCCCTTTCAATAAAGAGGACAAAAAATACCAAAGCAAATTAAGTACTGTGGAGAGGTGAGCCTTGTTGTGTTTTGTACAGGTGTTACACAGGTGTCACAAAATTTATTTTTGTAAGTTCACGCTAGGAATGTCATAATTATGCCAGATTAATGAAGAAGAGCCTAGTAAATTGGTGAACAGCCAGTCTGGTAAAGGGATATTTTTGGTATAAAACAAATCGGTATTTATAGTTGGATAAATTGTCACAATGTTGTGGAGGAGAAGGCAGAAGAGAAGCATATATATATATATATATATATATATATATATATATATATATATATATATATATATATATATATATATATATATATATATATATATATATATAGATAGATAGATAGATAGATAGATAGATAGATAGATAGATAGTGACTTGTGCTTATGCTTGGAAGCACTAGCACCACTTTCTCTGCTTCATGGTCTCTTTGAAGACATATTGAAGGGTTAAATGTCGTACAGTAGCTTCTCAAATTTCGCGAGTTTTTAATTCAACATTTTTTATTTGAACACACCAAAACACAAAACAATTTAAAATTTTGACAGCGGAAACTCGAATTTCGACGTTTGAAAGGCCCACCAACGTTCAGACGACGTGCACAATCATGTAACAGCGTCATTTCTCTTATGTACAAAAGATTCATTATTGTTTATTACTGAATGTCTTTGATTGAGTTGATGTTTATGTGTGCAAAATGAGCAATACAATTCATTAATAATACGTAGAATATTAAAACACACAAGGAAATGAGACAGCATTGTTTTCGTTGATTACAAAACCAGTGACTGACTGGTTCTACATATAAAACTGAAGAAAGTAAGACCCTGGTTGTAGCTGTAGTAAAATTAATATGGTTGTTTTAAGTAATGTTATTTAATGTTAATAAATGGAACAATAGAAGTAGCTAACGATAATGGTAAAGAAAAAACGAGAGATCGCGTATGTAAGTGCGCACACGTGAAAACATATCGTCATTACTCTATATAAGAATATGAAAGCAACACTAATTTACCGTTCATATATATTTTAATTAATGTTTCTGATTTTTTTTTTATTGAATTAATGTTTGTGTGCGCAAAATAAACAATACAATTCATTAATAATACGTGGAATATTAAAACACACGAGGAGACGAGACAGCTGCCGGCATTGTTTTTGTTAAAGCTTACAAAACCAGTGACTGATTGGGTCTACATATAATACTGAAGAAAATAAGACCCTGATTGTAGCTGTAGTAAAATTAATGTAAAAAAATTTATATGCTTGTTTGAAGTAATGTTATTTAATGTAATAAATGGAACACTATAAGTAGCTAACCATTAATGGTAAAGAAAAAAGTGAGACTGCGCGTATGTAAGTGCGCACATGTGAAAACATATCGTCATTACTCTACATAAGAATATGAAAGCAACACTTATTTACTGCTCATATATATTGAAGGGTTAAATGTTGTACTCTGTATAGACAAGCAGAGAGAGAGAGAGAGAGAGCAGCTGAACTGCCGTATGTAAACAAACCATAATTTCCCGCGGCTTTGTTTTTTGTTTTTTTAAGGGGATTAGCCCACCCGGGCATAGGTCACTGACCCACATTGGGGCCTGAGGGGCAAAAATTTAGTACTCCTGTAATAATAATAATGCAGATAAGTAAAAAAAAAAAAGAAAAAAAAGCTGCCTATCTACCTATTGGACAAACTAAAATCGTGCCGAACCACGGGAGTTTCCGGACCACAGAATGCCGGACTAGAGAGGTACAACCTGTACTATTATTGTGCTATTTGCACCCAAATAATACCTACAGCATTGATGGCCTGTATATACAATCCTGAATAGTTTATCACTATTAGAACTGATTTTATAGATTCTGGTATAAACATTTCTAAATGATTCATGAAAAAAAATGAATATTGAGGTAATCAAAGGCCCTTGCTTATAATTGCCCCCTCCCCTTGTCATTGTATAACTGTAATGCTAAATCTGAGTTGGATATGTTGAGGCATTTTAGAAAGGGAAACTGTAGCTAAACATCTCTTACTGCAGTTAAAGAAAGAACTGTGTTTGCTCTTGATTAAGTTGATTCTGGCCAGCCTGCTTCACAGCAGGACAGAGATTGGAAGATGGAAAATAATTAATTTTAGCTTAACTGGTTGTATGATATGTACTGTACTTATTTTCCTTGTGACATGAAAACATTTTGTAGAATATTCCTGTTGTCATTTTTCAGTAATTGACAAATTTCCTCTTCAACAGAATATTAATGTCCGAGCTCAAGAAGATGCTGATGATCTTAGGGTTGGAGCGATCCGGTAATAAGGGAGAGGTAGTTGAGAGATTAATGGCATTCATGCTGGAACCACAAGACACAGGGAAAAGACCACCAAAAACTGTAAAGGTAAGTGACTAATCCTCTCTCCTGTTCATTTTAATTCCTTAATCGAACTAGCTTCAACCAGAAATCTTTCTGTGACACAAGATGATTTAAATACTTGTAATTATGTAGGACAGACAGGAAAAACACTGCAGCTCAGAATCAAACAACATAAGTACAATATCAGAACAGCATCTGAAAGCAGTGCCTTGTTCGTTCATGTTAGGAATAATAATCATCCCATTGCTTGGGAAAAAGCTTAGAAGTATATAAATCGTCTTGTGTCACAGAAAGACTTCTGGTTGAAGCTAGTTTGATTAAGGAATTAAAATCAATAAACCTTAGTGATGGTCAGTTCAAAACTGATAATATGTTACATAAATTTATTTGTCAGTGGCCCAAGGTCAAAAATGCTTTGAAAACCTATGATCTAGATATATGATAGTTATTTCGTGGGTCCCTTATTTTTGACTTGACCTGACTAGTCACGTCACCCCCCTTCTCTTAAGCTCCTCTAGGTGTGTGTTGGTGTGGGGATTAGTGGATGACATCATTATGACCTGACCTCATGTTTTTAAGGTCACCCTGTATATTTAAGCCTCTCTATGTCCATGTAATCCAGTTGCCTCTGAAGATGTCTTGAATAAAGACGAAAGCTAAGGTGCTCCTTTTTTTTCCCCTTTTCCCGTGTGATTTTATCAAGATTTATCTTATCCACGTTTTCATTGTGGATCTACATGTAATATATATATATATATATATATATATATATATATATATATATATATATATATATATATATATATATATATATATATATATATATATATATATATATATATATATATATTTTTTTTTTTTAAACCTTTAGATAAACTTTTCCTGGCTATTTTGATACAAAAAATGGTGTTTTAAACTTAATTACACCAAATTTTCTAGACTCAGGTATCAACATGTCGTACTTTTCCTTTTCTTTTTAAATAAAATAATTTGAGCACATGCTGTGAGTAAAAGTTAAAAAAAAATTTTGCTATAAATATTTTCATTCGTGGCTGCGGCCTAAATGTAATGGGAGAGTGTTTGTCCATGAAAGATGTGTAGTTTAGACTTGGAAAACTTTCCCCAGTACCTGGAATCATTCTGGGGATGTGCGATAGTGTGTGTCTGTGCGAGATGATGTAGTTTAGACCCAGAAAACTGTCCCCGGTACCCCGAAAATTCCGGGGTGAAAATATTTGTGTCAGCACGGAAATTTGTCATTCTGGCTATACAGGTACAGTATGTTATAATGACCCCACTGTAAGCTGATTTGCTAAAAGCTCTATTCAGGAACGCATCTTGAGGGAATACCTTTTTTCAATTAATGACGTTATATTTATTATGATGAATCATGCACCATAAGAGGTTGATCTTATGAAAATTTAATATTGAATCAATAAATAAACCTGCCGAATGTGACAACATTTAAGTTCTTATCAGTGTAAACAGGTGCATATCCTTTTTGTTGTTGGTTTACTTAATACAGTTGTGTGGTAAATAACCCTAGACTTGTTGCTCATCGTATTTACTATAATTTCAGAAAGGTAAAGGGAAAGGAAGACCAAGGAAAGGCCAAGAAAAAAAGAGAGAAAACAATACTTCTATGAATGATTCTGGGACTGGAGGAAGCGACAGTAACGAATCTGAATCAGAAGAACAAGATAGTGAAGAGGAGGGAGAAAAGCCCAGGAAGACTCTAGGAAGAAAACCACAATCCAAGAAGACCCCAGCCAAGAGGGCAGCATCAACTAAGAAAGCCACACCCTCCAGGCGATCTAAAGTTGCAGACTCGGATGATTCAGATTCGGATGATGAACCATTAGCTAAGAAAGCCAAACAACCTCCCTCAGTTAGTGATTTAGTTCAAGTGAATACTCTTGTCTTGCTAAGATGAGGAATCAGTTGGAAAGTTGGAGTGAAGGATTTTTTTTTTTTTTTTAAATCAGCAAAAGTTAAACTTTCAATTCTCAATAGTTTTGGAGTTACAGCACATGACATGCTTGGTAGAATGTGATAAAATCTATATGAGGTGTATAGGAAACATCCAATACACTGTGCTAGTGACCTTTATTAACAATAATAATGCCATATGATTTGTATTGGTATTAACATTTAGAGGAAATGTTCAAGTTCTGCCCCTCTTGCTCAATGCAGGGCTCAGCCCGTGGCATTAGTGAGTGTTGCACATGTTCAAAGACCCCAGGGATGTTGCGAATGTTTGTCACACTCCTGTTCAAGGTGCCACAATTCCTCACAGTTTGCGAGCCTCTGTAACATACACCTTGCGTTTTATGTGATCCCACAGGTAGAAATCAAGGGGATTTATGTCAGGTAATCATAGGTTTCATCACATTCTTATCAAACCTGTCCTGTACTGTAACTCTGAAACTATTGAGAATTGACAATTTGGTCATTTAGTCATTTATCTTTATTTATGTCTCGGGAATACACACCCTGATATATATATATATATATATATATATATATATATATATATATATATATATATATATATATATATATATATATATATATATATATATATATATATATATATATATATATATATATATATACATACATACATACATACATACATACATACATATACACACAGGTTGTACCTCTCTAGTCCGGCAACCTCGGAACCTGACCGGTGCCGGACCATGGAAATTCACCCTTTTCCTGGATAGATAGTGACTTGTGCTTATGCTTGGAAACACTTGCAACACTTTCTCTGCATCATGGTCTCTTTGAAGACATATTGAAGGGTTAAGTGTCGTATATTAGCTTCTCAAATTTCGCGAGTTTTTAATTCTTAACGTATTTTATTGGAACGCAAAAAAATAAATAAATAAACATTTTGACGGGGGAAACTTGAATTTCGGCGGGTTTGAATGGCCTGCCAACGTGCATAATCGTGTAAACAGCGTCATTTCTCGTATGTACAAACGATTCATTATTGTTTATTACTGAATGTCTTGTTTATTGAATTAATGTTTGTGTGCAAAATGAGCAATACAATTCATTAATAATACGTAGAATATTGAAACACACGAAGAAATGACACAGCATTGTTTTCGTTGATTACAAAACCAGTGACTGACTGGTTCTACATATAAAACTGAAGAAAATAAGACCTTGGTTGTAGCTGTAGTAAAGTTAATATGGTTGTTTTAAGTAATGATATTTAATGCTAATTAATGGAACAATAGAAGTAGCTAACGATAATGGTAAAGAAAAAAAGAGAGATCGCGTATGTAAGTGCGCATGCTCACACGTGAAAACATATCGTCATTACTTTACATAAGAATATGAAAGCAACACTTATTTACTGTTCATATATATTTTAATTAATGTTTCTGAATTTTTTTTTATTCAATTAATGTTTTGTGTGTGCAAAATTAACAATACAATTTATTAATAATACGTGGAATATTAGAGGAGACGAGACGGCTGCCGGCATTGTTTATGTTAAAGTTTACAAAACCAGTGACTGATTGGTTCTACAAATAAAACTGAAGAAAATGAGACCCTGATTTTTGCTGTAGTAAAATTAATGTAAAAAATTAATATGGTTGTTTGAAGTAGCTGTAATGTTATTTAATGCTAATAAATGGAACAATATAAGTAGCTAACCATTAATGGTAAAAAAAAGTGAGACTGCGCGTATGTAAGTGCACACATGTGAAAACATATCATCATTACTCTACATAAGAATATGAAAGCAACACTTATTTACTGCTCATATATATTGAAGGGTTAAATGTTGTACTCTGTACAGACAAGCAGAGAGAGAGAGAGAGAGGGAGCAGCCGAACTGCCGGATGTAAACAAACCTTAATTTACCCGCGGCTTTTTTTCTTTTTTTTTTTAAGGGGATTAGCCCACCCGGGCACAGGTCACTGACCCACATTGGGGCCTGAGGGGCAAAAATTTAATACTCCTGTAATAATAATAATTCAGATAAAAAAAAAAAAGAAAAAAAAAAAAGAAAGCTGCCTATCTACCTATTGGACAAACTAAAATCGTTCCTGGACCACAGAATGCCGGACTAGAGAGGTACAACCTGTATATATATATATATAAATAAATAATTGGGGCAGACCCAGTCCAAGGAAAGCGAATATATTGGTGGGGGGGGGGGGTTAGAGAGAATACTGCTTATCTGAATAGTTTAAAGAAAATCATTGTGTTATTACTGCACTTCAACAACTAAGGTCTTTAAGTGTATAACAAGGTTATTAAAAGAATATTACATTAGCATGAGTGGGTGGCTGCCTCCTGCTCAAGATTCCTTTAACACTTCTTTAGGCAATTGCACCACAATTCTCATATGATTTAGGATCATTTGGTGCCAGGTTGATAAAATATTATCCTAAAAGAATCCCACACTGAACACCACGAGTCATTTGTATACAAAGAGCAAACAGCTAGTTGGCTTACCTTCAACACTTAGTCAATTAGTGCAGTACAATTGTGTATTATCATCACTTGATAAATACTATTGCAGTGTATTTATCATCACTTTGTAGATAATACTGTAGTGTAAAGTATTATGCATATACCCTGGTTTAATCATTAATGATTTGTCTAAATACAAGTAGCCACACCGAGTCATTATATAACATTCAAGGTAATAAATAAAGTTTTAGGAGGGTATGTTCATGTCAAATACTATATACTGTGTTATAAAGTGACCCCTGTTGTAAGCTGGTCTACTTAAAGCTCACACGAACACATCTGAGTAAACATCCTTCTGATACAGCTTATCCTTTTATTTTCAAGCCATATTACAAATTACATACAGTATTGTATTTTTTCTCTATTAATGAAGATGTTATATTCATGATGAACCATAAGAGGCCAATCATATGAGAATATAATAGTGAATAAATAAATAAATAACTTGACGAATGTGGCAACACCTGATCAGCCCCAGCCTGCTTACAGTGTCCTAGTTCTCAGTAGGCCCATAGCAAATCTTATTTGATCATTGCACATTGATAACAGTCCAATTTCCTTTTACAGGATGCTGAACTTAAAGCTATGGTTAAGAAAATTTTAGAAGGTGCCAACTTGGAGGAAGTTACTATGAAGAGTGTTTGTCGGCAAGTGTATGATAATTACCCAGAATTTGACCTTACACACAAGAAAGTCTTCATTAAGGAAACTGTGAAATCTGTAAGTACTCTGGAATATATTTACAAGGTACCTGTACCAGAGTAATTAATGTTTATGATACTAACAAAAGCAATAGCCAGAGAAAATCTGAATGTTTTTGCCCCATCAGCAGAAGCGGGAGCTAGAGCATTGGATTTTCCATCCATCAATAGCCATAACTTAATTACTGTGAAATATTTTAACCTTTATCAAAAGATGCATTTGCAGATTTTTTTATTCATATACAGCAGCAGTATATGAAGCAGGGGACAAGGGGAAGAGAAAAATAGGATCAGGGTTATCTCGAGAGGGGCTTCTTAGATAAGATACATGTTTTTATGTACCGATTATAATAATTGTTATTTTTCCATTTCAGATAATATCGTGATTGGTCAGCGTTACCAGCATTAAGTATAGTACAAATTGTTCATATAATGCTTTTTTTATTGTAGATTCCAGAAAATTATGAAATCCTTTACCAATAGGAGTTAAATTGTTTTCCAAAGACCCCATCAGTTACATAATGTTGTGTAGTTCTTGATAGTGTTAATGGCACTTGCTTTTTTTTCCCCTATTGTTTTATTTAGTTTTTATTTATTTATTTATTTTTATTTTTTATTTTTATTTTTTTTTAAGTATTGTACACCCACTCCTCGTTTTACACGCATTTGATTTAAGCGTTTTTGGAATAACGCGTTTGTTCAATTAATACCAGTTCCTACTTTGCACACAACTATTTTTTTAAATAATGCGGTTTAAATTTGCTGCGTATTTGCTTTTAAATTTGTCGCGTATTCGCCTGGCAGCTGAGTCGCATATGATGGTTGGTGAGGTGCTTGTTAGTATTACTGTAAAGTCAGTCATATCAACATCAACGATTTTAACATTATTAATAATAATAATAATCATTATTATAATAATAATAATCATTATTATAATAATGTAATAATAGATTATTGCTTCTAATGATGATGAAGATAATGAAGTACTGTACAACAACTGTGACAGCGTCCAGCAGTTTAGTGTTTACATCAAGCTTCCTTCTTACCGCTTTCTTAGTTCTTTTCAGCACTACTTGTTTGTGTGTTTATCACGTATCTTTTAGTGTTAAACACTGTTTTCCCCATCGAGCATGTCTGGAAAACATCCATCTGCCTCCTCTGGTGAGCCTAAAACTAAAAAGGCAAGAAAAACAATCGCAATGGACATCAAGTTAGATGTGATCACTTGCCCGTACCCCCGCCTCAGTAGCCTCCTTCCTCAACCCTCCCCTACCCCACCTTTGTCAAGCAGAAATCGCCAGTCATCAATGTAAGAGTTATTTAAGATGTATTTACGATTGTTTTTCTTTATTAACTGTTTTTCTTTATGAATGACAAAGGTAAAAGAATATTTATTGAGTTACCCTGTACGGTAGTATATGATGGTTTCCCTAACCTGTATCATTTACATGTATTCTTATGGGAAAAATGGGTTTAATTTACGTGTTTTTGAACTAAGCGGTGATTTTCAAGAACCTAACCCCCACGTAAAATGAGAGGTGGGTGTACTGTAATTAAATTGGCACAAATTCTCTTTTGAGTGTACTGTATATTCAAAGTTTTTTCTTTAAGCTTAACCCATGGATGAGTTACAGTCTTACATTGTCACTCATGGTGTAATAGTTTTCAGAGACAAGGTTTATCATGTTTCAAAGAGTTAAAAACTTTGATGTCGTATGAAATATTAAATTTAATGTCTAAATCACAGCACAGCATAGCATCTTGGCAATATTTCTTAGTTAAGCTAAAATGAAATAAACTAAAACAGCTGGTTACTATGGAAGTGTTGTTATATGTATGACTGACAGTAATCTGGCTCATTGCTATGTGGCTTACTCTTTTGGGTACAAAATATATTTCATATTTTTACTATTCCAGAAAAGACACTTGGGTTTAGAAATACTATTCTGATAAGATATTTTTACTTGGCAGTGGTATACTATTCTGGTTAAAAACTCCACCAACTTCTTGCACATTCACCAGTTTACTGGTCAATTATGTGTGAGAATTTTTTTTGTGAGGAAAGAGTTCAGTATTGAGTATAACAACCTGACATTGGCGGTTCATCTACTTGGAGTAATGGTACTGTATTGCCCAGTGAGTAAAATTCAAGCAGATCTTTTGAATATTGCTTGAAATTTTATTTTGCTAGTAACCTACTTTCTTAAAAAGAGTACTGTACTGTACACTGTTTAACCTGGTACTCCGAGTCATTTGAAAATTAATATTTGGATTTAATTGTTTCCAATTAATAGAGTATTTTATCCTTGAAATTTATTGCCAATTTTGGTGTATGCATTACTTGTATATCTTCTTAGTGTACTCATAGTGAATCAATTGTCCCAGAGGTTTCATTTGTGCCATTATTTTTTTTCCTCATCTTTATCATGAAATTTTCTACTGTATCCCTTTTTAATCCATCTCATCACTGAATTGGTTATTTTGTTTTACTGAATTTTATCATGTCAAATGTAAATGAGAAAAGTTCTTGTACATGTTACTGAATGTACCTAGACTATTTGTAGAATATATATATATATATATATATTTTTTTTTTGTGTGTCCTTGCAATGCTGAATTGTTCTTTATAAGTAGGTGTAATTAATAACAACCCACTTATGCTCTTTACAAACAAAACAAATAGACTTAATTGAGATGTTGGGGATTATGTGGGTAGATAAATAAATAAATATGTACCTGTTGAATACATCGTAAATAATTTTAATTGACTTACTGCGGCTCTGAAAATTCTCGCAAATGTTTTTCAAGTGCTTATTCCAATAGTCATGGGGTTGAGCTAATGACTTTGTTATTACTGTTTTAGGATGCACCTGAAAACTACCTCTTAAAATTACTGAGAGAGTCCATACTAATTGGTTGTACTGACTACACGACTCGTTGCTCCATGGGCAATTCCCATACAGTATACAGTACATTAGAATAAGAGGTTATTATTTGGAGCTTGAGTACTTGCAGTTACAAATGCTGTGACAACATGTAAGTGTAGTATTGTTTGGGATAAATTTCCTGATCCTATGACATTAAAGGGAATTTTGTAACCTGATGTTAATTATTCACTTGGTTCAAGTTTGAGACTAGCAGACATTTTACCTATCCCATTTTTTACAAGACAAGAGCATACAGATTGTAAGATTATTCTAATAAAATAAGTTTTAGTTATTTTAATGCTATTTCTTTATTGTGCCCTTCAACTTTTCCACCCAAAGTAGGTGGAAATGGATCCAAGTTTGACGTAAGTCATGTGTAGTCATATGAAAATACTGCAAAAGCAATGAATTACCCCCAAAAAAATCATGTTCTAGAGCAGTTCTAAACAGATATACTGTATTTGAACTATACTGAATGTATTTAGAATTACTCTCAAAGATCTTTTAAGTTTTAAAGTATGGTATTTTGTTTACCTTTGTAGCATTATAACAAACAGCTCAAGTTTTAGAGTGAAAAATTTTATAACTTGAAATGCTGTAATGAATGAGAGGGGTGTGTGAGAAAGCTGAGTAATACTGTACTAATATGAAAATTTTAAATTAAATAAAAAAGTACTGTCCTCAAAAAATTAAGAATATATCCCCAGTACGTGTACAAGCATTTTCTTTCCTGTACTGTACAATACTCTGCTTGGAACATTCTTTCTACAGTAAATTGTATTACATTCATCATCAATACTTTGCATTAGCTGCAATTACTTGATGGCAGCTGTTGGGTATAACTGAAATGGGATATACCCCCATCCTGCGCACCACTGTAAATCCAGGTTCCTAGCCCAGAAAGTGCGTTAGAGACCAGATGATTGGCACAGCTCTTGACCCAGTTGTGCCATCAGGCAAGCTGACGCAAATTTCATAGATGGATGATGCTCTTCCTTTTGTCAACCCACATGATGGGAACAACTGGCAAGGCAGGGTAGCAACTCCCTTAGGTAATCAAAGACTACCTGCCTTGCATATTATGTTCTAGACACAAAATTTAACCCAATTTTAAAAATAGATTATGTAAGATTATATAAGTCAAGTACTGTACAGGTAAAATATGGTACAGTACTTATTAACGGTATAGGGGTTCAAGGTCATATCAGCCTCAAGGAGCAAAGAGGTCAATGACAAAAAATTTCAACTAGGTTACAGGTATAAAATGTCAAGATTAAAAGCTCCAGAAAATTGTATTCAATGGGCCCAAATATCCACTCCAGAATTTACTTTTGTGAAAATGTGAGGGAGAAGGACCAGACAACATGGTTAGTTACCTGAGCCTGACTGGACGCACCAATTAGTTAAATCAGGTGAAAGAGCACATAGACCCACATTTGCCCGGACTGCCCCCTTCCCACCATGTCTCCTTATTCATAAAACGTCTGTAAATGAATTCCATCTTAAATGGTGTGAGGAAAGTGAATGAACTTAACATAGCTTCATTTGCAATTCTGATGACATATTGAACATAATTTTTAAGGCTTAATCAAGTGAGAGAAAGTAGTCACCTTCCTATCTCTTAATTCATAAATTCTGTACACAATTCTAATCTCAATGCCATGAATGGTTCAAGTTATCTTAGGTTCAGATGTAAATATGATGCCACTTTGGACAGTATTACAGGGGTAATAAGTTTTACATCCGTGTTTACCTTCCCTCCCATTTACACCCACCCTCCCATAAACACTCCCGTCTATCCAACCCCTACACTATCTCCCACCCACCCTCCCCTACACTCTGTCCACCATACACACAGCCAGCCATTTTGTGCTCAACTCAAAATCTAAACCAACCATGGAATCTCATTTTAACTGCGCTCGTTAAACTATGTTCTTTGCATATCATGAATTTCAGAGCGTTTTGAGCAATATTGAGGGAAATATGGAGACTTTACCCATCGGCACTGTTCGTTGAATTTGAATAATACCGTTGTTGGTAATACAGTACCTGCACTTCTAAAGTGATGTTTATTTGTCCATTTGATAGAATAATTATTGTCAATACAAAAGGACAGTCCAAAAAGCGTCCCAGATACCCTCCAAGTGACTTTATAGTTACCGCTCATGACTCTTCAGGACGATATACAGGTACTCCTCGACTTACGACCACCCGGACATACGACCGCCGCAGTCGTATATAAAAAAATTCAAATTACGTACTTATTTTCTAGTACCGAAACGTTTTCGTTCCGTACAACGGAGTGGGCTGGGCTGCCTCGTGGTGTGCAGCATCCACGCCGTAGCCCGCTCAGTTGGTGCTTGGTCATCATTGGTGTTAGTTATAGCGCTGTGTACTGACAAAAAATATTTTCTAATTCCCTTTAAAATGACTGGCAAGGGTAAAAGTGAGAGTTCTGGTGGTGCTCAGAAGAAAAAGAGACAGTCAATTACTTTTGTGATGAAAATGAAGATAATAATGCAATATGAAAATGGAAAAAACGGTAGCAACCATTTCACGCGACCTTGGCTTCTCTCACTTAACGATATCAACAATTTTGAAGGACAAGGCAGAGGCATTTGCTACTATTAATAAGGAGATGCAAATATTTGAAGAGATGGATCAAAATGTTGAGCGTTTTGCAAAAGTTGACAGACTGATCCAAGATGCACTTGCTTGCTACAGGGAGATTTACAATGAAAACAAAAGGCAAACTGTGCAGTCTAAATTGGACATATATTTTAAGAAGTCCCCCACTGCTGTCTCATCACGCCCCACCACTGCTGCCTCTTCACTCCCTAAAGATGATCCAATACCTTCAACAAGCAAGTATGTTAGCCTGTCTGAAGAAAGCGAAATTGATGACCCACCCAGCCCTGTCTCTTCCTCCTGCTTCATCCAATTAATGTAGTCTCCATGTTTAATTAAAAAATTATTGAGGCCCCGTGTGCATTCAGCTGACTACATTAAAGGTAAGTGCACAATAAAACTTTATTAATTTTTCATTGTTGATTACCTTTACTGTACCATATTTAATTTTAGATTTTCTATGTAGTATTTTCGCATTTTCGACTTACGACCTGGTCGTCGGTCCCTAACCCCGTCATAAGTCGAGGACTGACTGTACCAGCCAAATTTTACTACATCAACAAGCCTATACAGGTATATGGAAATAAAAATTTGACGTATTATTTATTTCCTAAATCAATAAAAAGCTTTAAACAATGTGGGCCGCTGTATAATTTCATTTTGTTTTGGTTTAATCCTAAGTACTAGAAGTTTTTGTTATTAAACAAAAACTATATACAGTCTCTCCTTGACTTACGACACATTCGACTTACAACAACCCGGACATACGACGGCCATGGTTGTATAAAATATTTTTCACATTACGTATTTTCGAGTCCCGACGTTAGTGATCGCACTGTGTACTGACAAACTTTTCTTTTGTAATTCCCTTTAAAATGGCTGGCAAGCGTAAAAGTGAGAGTTCTCATGGTGCTGAGAAGAAAAAGAGACACCCATTCTAGAATTTCTATGTACAGTACTAATTTCTATGTACAGTACTGTATTATTTTCGCCTTTTCAACTTATGACCTGGTCGTCGGGACGGAACCCTGTTTGAATGCATCAAACACTGAAATATCTAGTACACTCCAGTTGGTTTTTTACATGTGCAACCTTAAATGATGCCCCCCCCCCTAGTAGTCGATTGTGTGTGTGTGTGTTTGCACACAGGGTGGTGAAATGTGTCTACAGTAGTGTGGCAGCATTATGTTAAGTGTTAAGGTGCAAGCACTGATTGCTCCCTCTCTCTTTCAGCTACCGCTGCTGGATAGCCCACGTAGCGAACAGGGAAGCAACTTGCATAAGTCTTCCACTGCCAGTACACAACCCCTTCACCATCAAGACTCCTGCTTTGCCTCCTCGTGGCAACACACAGTAACTGGGTGCCTCGTGGGCCCAGGCTAGATCAGCAGGGGATCTCGGAGTAGCAGTGGGCCCCAGAGGGACGGCGCATTAGCCCTCTGGCATGTGGACACATCCTGGCGCCTACCATCCATTGCCCCGCTGCCTTGTGGATTAACTTTGGCAGTCTAGTAACGACAACTATAGGACTCAAGGATAGCAGCCATCAACATTTGCCGTTAACACAGCTGATTCACCTATTTAACACCCCATAACAAACACAGGTCATATCTGTACTAACTTACTCTGTAAGTCCGGAGCTGAATATAACTTATTCAATAACTGCTGGTGTTTCATTCTCCCATTGATTGGACAATAAAATTACTAAATCATCACATTGCTTCAACCTAAGTATGAGATTATTGCTGCAGCTGAAATATAATTTGCTAAATAACTGTTGGTGTTTCTGTCCCCCACTGATTGATCATTTATTTATTACTATTTATCATTTTCCCAATTATCAGCATACTAATCGTTCGGGCAGTTGGTCCGTTCTTTGTTATATTGCTATGAACTTTATTACAGTAGTTCAAGTGTTAGTGCAGGAGGAAACCTGTGATGTTTGATAATGTTACACTGGATAACTCCTTTTTCACGTGTGTCCGGGCCAAGTAGGACACGAACTCATGACAATATTGACAGTGCCAGTGATGAGAAATAATGCACGTTACCGCTGTACCTCCACCAACATCTTGATACCAAATTTAGGAAGCAAAATTAACGTACCGAATCTTTGTGAATCCGGACCTTGGTTCGTAAGCCAAGATATTATTTGGTGTGCCCTTTCTACAGGACCAGCAGTTCCTCTCCCTCGTGGCTACATTTTCTGCAGAATACACGTGTATGTTGACATAACATGCAATGACTATTACAGTCCCTATCCACCATGATGTTCGTGAATGGGTTTGTCTTAACACGAAAGGGATCAACAAACCCAGAGGAATACGGTTCCCTTTTCACTTAACCCTGAAGGATACAAGTTTGTTCTTTACAAATCCAGATGGATCCTTCAAGTGCACCCCCCCCCCAAAAAAAACACTTAATGTTAGTATATATAACTATAGTATTTCAGTCTCTTTCGCTGTCTATTGTGATGACCCCCAACACTGTGGTAACACACACACACACACACACACACACACACACACACACCAGCTGATTTTTGAAGGACGAGACCGAAACATGAAGCCTATTACGAAACTGCTCTGATACATACTGTACATGTAAGTGGTAACATCCACAAATATGCGTTTACAGCAATACAAGCAAGAAATATCTACAAACCAATTAAACAGAACCATCATATATGCATAAAGCTTTACACGTGTGCTCAGTATGGAACCCGAGGACTTCAATGCCGTCCAGGACTGATCCCACAAGAGGTGCGGCGGACAACGAGCGACGTGGCATTCTCCACGGACGAGATGCTCAACCAACTCCGCCTCTCAACACATTCCCAAACCCCCGTCATGTATTCTTCAAGATACATAAAGATATCTGACAACAGGGACGTGAAGTGAGTAAGACACGAGGTTTGAAAAATTAAATGTTCTATAATTCACGTTTCTATCATAAAACGTGCGTTTTTCCGTCACGATAAATCAGTGATAATCTCTACCGCCAAGTGTGAAGGCGGGTCTTTCCGTTCGCTCTGACTTAACGATTAACAAGGAGAGCCATCGGGAGGGGTAGAGAGGGTGGGAAGCGAGGGAGGAGTGATGCTACAGGTGTGGCGGGGGAGGGAGGGAGAAAACGACAGGTAAGTTGGAGGAAGTCGTGACGTCAACGCTGAGTTGCTGATCATTTATATAATTTATTTATTACCTTACGGTCAAGCTATTAATTTTTATTAAAACTTTTATTTTATTTTTTTATGATATGTTTACTTATTACATCGATGGGTATAGCGATGTATTTATTATCGACATGATTAGAGATTGTGTTCATCTGAAGAGAACAAGTTACCAACGTTAAATTCCACCGCCACCTGAGACCTGGTGAACAGTCAGGATCAGCCAGCCAGTTGGGGTACATCATCGCCAACATGACTCCCTAAATCGTGGAAAAAGACAATAAAAATGTGACAACGGAAAAATAACCAGGGCATAGTGAGTAACGTTCTACCCACAGACACGTGTGCTGTGCTGTGCAGTGACGATACTAAGAGGTGGGAGGTGAGAAAAGGGTGAACCAGTGTATTGTAGGGGAAATGAGTGATAGTGCAAGGCTGTACTGAGGCCCAACCTCCGTCAACACCTGCGGTGGAATGTCAGGTGCAGCAGCAATATCATCACACTGATAACCAGGCTGCTCTAACGGACCTCCTTCAGTAAAGTGTGCGTACTTCAGTGTTGTGCTTGGTTGTTATACGCCCACCCCCACGCCAACGCCCGCGTCAGCCCTACAGTACATCTGAAGGTTTTGAGAGTTCCGCCAGTAATTCCTAGAAGAGACCATGAACCGTTTACAGAAGGCGCGCGTCTTTCCTTACGCAGACTTACCAAGAACTCCAGTGACAGAAATTCCAGTGTGATACCCGAAACGCTCTTACACTATCAGTATAATAATTAACACCCTTTCTAGTCGTAAGGACAAATCTCGTCACGTTATCTCGAGGTTAGACTAGGTTAGGTTTTTCGAGTCATTCCTTTCTCTGCTATCACGAGAGACAACATGACGAGATTTATCAGTACGATTTGCCTCAGCTAAAAATCAAAATGTGCTTAATCATAGTGCAATCAGTTTATAGTGAGTTGAGTAACAAATTCAGCCATTTTACTAAATTTTTTCCCAATTAATACAAATCTTACAACACCGGTGACTCACTCCCACCGTGTTTACACCAGCTCTGAGAAGCCAGGTGTTGTGGCATGCTGTGAAGGAGAAATAATATCAAGACGGATAGATTAGAAGGAAGAATAAATGTGATTCTTTGTCAAAGATCATTTTCATGACACTGACACTTGCAAGTTTGTTACTAGCTCATTATTTTTTTTTTTAAATAAAACTTTGTCCTGATAATTTGCAGATTAGTTTGATGCATGTTCTAGGTAATACACCAGGGATTCGGAGAACCTCACTGCTCTTCAGTGTACATTCTTTGGGGTAGTTGACGCTTTCTCCAGGCAATGGTGCATGGTGTAGACAGGACAAGATCGGACACCAACACTGCGGTCAATGTGCCATAACAATTGCCAATTAAATCAGTGTTTTTCTGAAGCCATTATCACAGTGCCTCTTCCTTGTAAAAATTATCCATCCGGACAAACCTTTAAGCTTACTAGTCTGTTGGCCACGGCCAAGACAGATACTTCCCTCTGATTCAACATCCCAAAAGAAAAGAAAATCAAGTGGATTCAACATTCACGGCCATTTGAATAGGCAACAATTATTTAAAAAATAATTAATAATTACAAAAAGGCTTTTCTGAACTAGGCATCGAGGAAATTTTGCCATTTAGTGTAGTCAACAATTCATATGTGAAGGAGCCATGGCCATAACAAAGCCTTCCTCAACTGAGAGGATCAACTTTAATGTTCACTGTCATTCTGAAATGCAAGAAATATTATCTCTGACCTTGTTGCTTAACCAGATTTGACCAAAAAAACAGTTGTTCACGACTTGTGCAGCTCACCATGTTTGTGGTGCACTGCAATTTAAGCAGCGCGCCTCAAGGTCGCCAGCGGCTTAAATGTTACAAAAACAAAACACTAACGGTTTAAGTTTTGATTACAAGATTATTGAATACTGGGTGGAATTTATTAAGCAAAAGAGAAATCGATGTAGGGCAGCAGGGATGGACCTTAATCGGTGCGGTAACAACAAATTGTCTTCTGCTCGATTTAGAGCAGAGTTTAAATGCGTTACCTTGGTGTCGCTTATCCCATACTACTTTATGCAATAAAAACTAATATCAATGTAAGATCTGAAAGTGAATGGTACGAAAACTAATAATACTAATATACGATCTTATTCATCAGTAAGAAAAGATGATGTTAGGGATAACGTCTAGATATTGGCAGAATGTTGCACACGTGACGGTGCAGCAGTGGCAGACATACGAGTACATCAAGTGGGTCGTATGCGAGCATGTACAGCACCACTCCACAACAGAGAACATGACAAGATTAGTTATAAATGAGATTTTTGTGTGTTTATTTATTTGCGTTGGGGATAATAGTGACTCGACCTTATAAGCAATTACTGAATAGTGTCCAGTTATAGCAGCTGGTTAACATTGCTTACCTGTTCATCCCTTACACCAGGCCGAGTTATTAAGTGGTTTACGGTATATGATCGTTGACATTTTCCATATATATTTAATGAAGATAATTATTGGTTTACGTTACATTTGGGTCTTCGTTAGCTATGGACAAAACACAGACATCTACAATGGGTCATCGGTAGCTCACGCAACAGCCATAGACAAAAAAATAGCGTAAAAACACGTTCAGAGATAATTGAAAAGAAAGAAAACGAATGAAGTTAACGTTATATACAGCTTGATTAACGTAATCATATATAATACATACAACCATGATCCGTTTATTTAGTCTATTTTAATACGCTATGTTTTCTATGATTTCAGGGAACACAAATATTAATCAAAACATAAGAACACAACTTGGCAACATAAAACTTTAAGAAAAAAGCTTGAAGTAGATATAATAGACAATGGACACCATACTCTTGCCAGGTTATGGAAATAAAGACGGTGCCTAAATTATGTGAAAAACAAAAAACTCAGTGTCTGTAAAGAGTGCAGGTGTGCCATATCGCAATGACTCGTGCAGAGATGCGTAGTGTGAGAGGCGGTAACCTTCCGGTGGTGATGGTGAGGGTGATCAGAATCCTACTGCTGTTGGTCACGTGCTCCGCCCTCCCTACAGACGCCAATGGCTCGTGCTCAATGATCAACTGTCAGAAAGACTGCAGAGTTAGCAGCCCAAGCTTCCAGCCCCAGAGATGTGATGACTGTTGCACGCCAATCTCAGGTAAGTCACCATGATTATAGAGACAAAATCCCATATCTCAATATAAAATATTGAATAAAGTCTCACCTACTCGTTCCGCTAAAGGGGACTATAATAAGACAGTCAGTTCATGTCAGGGGGAATTTATCCCATAAAGAATTTACCTTTTACAGAAAGATAATTAGTTTCCAGTTGGGAAAACAATTCTAATAACAGTAACATCAAAAGGCGATAAAACAAAGAGGAAATATAACTCTTTACTTGCCCATGTTTGATACCAGGGCAAACAGATGGTTCCCACGACAGTTGTGGTCAAACGGCGGAGTAGAAAAATTCTATCCATGTGGCATTACACCATACTGTATATACTGACAGGTATCAAGCCCACCAGGGGACCCTATCGTGTGAGGGGAGATGATTTATGTGCGGGCAACGAAAATAATAGTACTGTATTAATACTAATGCTAACAGTAGTAATGGCAACACTAATAACAATATTAATAACGATGAAAAGAGTTATACGTAGTAACGTGTGTTTTTTAAAGGAATCTCGGCAACATTCATTTAGTATTTATGTTGTTCCCTCACATTGTATACATCCATTCACGTCGGGGGTAAAAGGATCTGTCGACGGAGTGGTATACCCTGGGTAAAAAGATTTGTCAATGGAGATGTGATCGATGTAAACACTATCATACCAAGCGGCAATCGTTAACTATAAAAGTCTATCATTTCCATAAACACTAGCATGGAAGAGACGCGGGTGGCGGAACAGACAGATGCCTTATTGCATTGAACTCATCTTGATTATGAAGATACAGTAAGTATTTCACATCGCAAGATGTATTCATAAATTTTCAAAGATGACTCACATAATAGTTACATGATCCCCATACAAGATTTTGTGTATTACGGATTTATTATTGATTGTAGAACATGTAATCCAGCACAATCAGCACTGTTATGGCCAGACAGCCCAGACTTAAGCTCACTGATACTGATATTAAGCACCATCTTGGAATTCGGTGCCCGAGAATTACTGACAGCGTCAGGAAAATACAAGGTGTTTACAAAGTCCCTTGTTGTTTGTGTTTATGGAGTTCCGCATCTAAAACATGGGTATGTATTCTTTATTATATTCTACACATGCCCATTGTGACCTTATTGGAGGTGGAATTGTAAAACAAACTTATGGACGTCCTGACATATCAAAGAATACAGTCATGTACAGAAAATAATGGATACAACACCAATGGTTCAAATATGTACTTTTCTGAGGACTTCAAAGAATTTTGTAAACAACCTGTAGGGGACGGGATATGCTGGTACTGCCTCTTGCTTTGATGCAACATATTAAAGTAAATGTGCGTTGGCTGTACATATTACTACTATTAAGTATCAACAGTAAATATAGGGAAGGGAACATGAAGGAATGGGATTCAGAGATGCTGGTCTGGGACCCCCACCTCTCCTAAGGACCCGGACCCAGACGTGTTCAGACCTACCACACCTTACCCCAAGCTGCTGCGTATTAAGTTACCCGTCTCATGGCTCCCTCTTGTTCTGCAGTAACTAAAGGAATGCAATTCAACACCCAGACTTTTAATACGAAATGGACCAAAGGAAACTGGCATAAGTATTTAAACACTGGCTAACAAGACTTTCCAAGTAATTTTGGAAGTTTTTAAACTAACAGCAGATTCCAGATAGCTTAGCCACAAAAAAACACGGCCTTGTTGACAGACATGGCGGATTCAGAAACACTTGTCATATGCAGCACGTCTATGAAAATGTCTGTATGTTATGTATCAGTGGATCCCTGTGAGAAGGAGAAGGCAGAGGTGACCAGCCAGGCGTGACGACCAAGTGTGGAGGAGGGGGAGGAAACACTCGGCAGGAAGAGCACAAAGACGTCGAGGAAATTTACACCACCCTAGTCCCTAACAGCCCACTACCGACACTTTGCGTTACAATTTTATTCATTAAACCTAATATCAATGTTATTATTATCAAGGCAATTACATATTATTGTACATTACTGGCAAATAATTTGGGGAAGAATTATTAATGAAGGTAAAATTTTCTCTTATGTCCACTTTCTTTGAATTTTATTCATGGACGAATCATCGATTTGATGTGATTGGTTTGCTGGTCGGACTTTTAACGTTCACTTACCCAAACACAGAATATTTCTCTCACGTCCGGTTGGCGCACAATACAGTATGCGAATACAGTAGTGTATAATTAAGCTTTGTGCAGTCACCGATAATGATTTATCTTGAGACATTCTAGAAGCGTCAAAATTATAAATTAGACTATTAAAATATTCTCATCAGTGTATGCATATATTTTTGGCAGCGCCTCACTTTTATATTTATCCATAAGAGAAGAATATTAATGACCGCTTCACTGATTTCATTAAAATATCGTAACGAGAGGATCAGTTACAAGTCAATATAATTGTTTTCAAGACGATACTTTATCACCTAACAATAAACCGCTTAATGAGGCCATTAATGAGGATGAGAATCAACTTAGCAAATAAACCACACCAGTCTGTCATATCTTAATCCCCTCCACCTTCTTTTCCGCAGACATCAGCAATCAACAAGAGGATTCCTGGAACGATAGTAAGTTATGTCTTGTTTTGGTTGTGGACTAGCGAGACTAATACATATACTGAACTAAAGGGTAGTGGAGCTTACATATAATGTAGGCTACTGTGCTCAGGGTTAGTGGGACTAATACATACAGTATATTGTACAGTAATCAGGCCCAGTAAGACTAATAATAATTAATACAGCCAAGGCTAGTGGCGCTACTACAAATACTCAGGGCTATTAGCATGGCTACATATACTCAGCGCTAGTGCCGCTATTACATTCAGCACTATAGTAGCGCTATTACTTACTCCGGGTTAGTGACGCTACTACATACAGTAAATCCTTCTCGTCCTTTACCAAAAACTTCTATAATAACTTCTGTACTCCATTCGTTTCCTCCTCTCTTCCGACCTGATAACTCTAAAGCCAACTCTCCCCTTGATAAAGTCAATCTCTCTGGCACCTTACTCTCCTCTAACTCCACCTAAGACGATTCCAACTCTATCCCTCCTACTCCTCCTACTGAACCTATGCACTTTCCAATAATCTCCACGTGTAGGGTTGCTGGTATGTCATCCAGGTTGGATGTGAGTAAGGCGCATGGACCGGAAGGAATACCCCCTCGTGTTCTGAGGGAGTGTGCTGAAATTCTGGCCCCTGTGCTTGCTCGCCTCTTTCGCCTTTGCCTCAAAACCCAAACTTTTATTTCCTCTAGGAAGCATGCCTCGGTTCAGCCCATCCCGAAGACGGGTGACCATTCCAATCCCTCTAACTATCGCCTCATTGCCCCAGCTTCATCCCTCTCTAAGATTTTCGAAACTATCTTAAACTCTCATTTTCCCCGTTACCTTGAACGCCTTTCTCTTTTGTCAGATCACCAGTATGGCTTTCGCCAGGCGAGATCTACCGGTGATCTGCTCTCCTACTTCACCCATCTTTGGTCATCCTCTCTTAGGGATTATGGGGAAACTTTTGTCGTGGCCCTCGACATCTCCAAAGCATTTGACAGGGTATGGCACAAGTCTTTGCTTTCTAAACTTCCCTCTTATGGTTTTTTTCTCCAAATTAGTTCTCTAATTTCTAGCTTCCTTGAGAATCGATCCATGGCAGTTGTTGTCGGGGTTTCGATCTCTCGCTCTTTCTCTACCAATAGTGGTGTCCCACAGGGTTATGTTCTTTCACCTACTCTCTTCCTTCTTTTTATCAATGATTTACTTCACACTACGACTAATTCAACCCATTGTTACGCTGCTGATTTTACTCTTCACTCATCACATTTTTTTTCTTCCCCCTAATTCTCAAACTAAATCGGTTTCTAGAGCGGATATCATTTCATCTATCAATGCGGATCTGTGCAACATCTCCGAATAGAGAGGTAGCAACCTGGTTAAATTCAATAGTAATAAAACACAGTATTTACCAATTACACTTTTCAAATTAGATGATCTCCCACCAATCAAATATCAGGACGCAATCATTCTGCCAAATTTTAAAATAGATATACTAGGTTTCACCATTTCCTCTAATATGTCATGGAAGCCACACATCCACAACATTGCTAAAGCTGCCTCACAAAAGCTGGGAATGCTGTAAAGATGCCGTAGCTACTTGACTCCTGAGCAGTTGCTTCAGGTTTATAAAGGATTCATTCGTCCTAACTTGGAGTACTGCTCTCATATCTGGGTTGGCTCTTCTTCTGTCCAACTGTTAGATTGGGTGGAATCAAAGGCATTTTGTCTTATTAACTCTCATCCTTCAGTTGACAATCTTTCTTCCCTTTCTCTTCGCCACAGTGTTGCTTCACTCTCTATCTTTTACAGGTACCTTAACGGGCAATGTTCGGTGGATTTGGCATCCTGTGTACCGCCGGCAAGGCCGTGGGCTCGCAACACTTGTTTTGCCCGCGGTGTATATTTGTCGGTCACACTAGAATAACCCGTTATAGTCCATCCTTTCCTCACGCAGCCAAACTGTGGAATGCTCTGCCTTCTTCCGTGTTCCCATACTCATACAATCTGTCTCACTTAAAAAAGATGGTTTTCCTACATCTTCGTGGTGTAGATTAATATAGCCTTTTTCTCTTCTATTATTAACTTCTTTTTACTCTTAATTTTTCGCCCCCAAGGCCCCGTTGTGGGTCGATGACCTGTGACAGGGTGGGCTATTTCCCGTAAAAAACAACAAATAATGGGCAATAGTAACGTTGCGACGCATACATAGGACTAGTGGCCCTACGTTTACCGGTACTGAGGGCTAAGTAGTGTTGCTACATATACCCAGGGTTCTGTAATTTTACATCTCTGTTGCTTTCTGTTTAATGAGTCTGGCGAAGTAAATGTGTCATGAATTAACATTACTTCCTACATGAAGCATATGTATAAAACATCTGTGTGCAGCATCGATGTTTTCCAAAACTAATTATTTAACTAGTCTACAGTTTTTTCCTGTTTACCCGTTTGTTTCTCTCCTGATAAAGTATAGGTACCTTTCCTTGCCCAGAGAAAATGTGTGTTTCTCTTCCATCTCCACTCCCCTCAGGAACCTTTGCACTTTTCACCTTCCTGCGGCATTGAGCGACCAAGGCGTAGACGGGTGACCGACTTTCCAAAGCGACTTGCGTCCCCACCTGCCAGCGTCTTGCCAAGTTGCCAGCGTAAACATGCCGTCTACGCAGCGCAGAAGGTTGTTGGTACTTTTAGAAAATAATGCTTTTCAACGTGTGGTACTGCAGAGGTACCCAGGAAAAAAATCCCATATATCAGAAGAGGAAGGGAGTAGGCGAATTTCACCATCTCTACAAGAAACTTCGCCAAGATCCAAAGAAGCTTCAAGAGCTCACCAGAATGTTTTCTACTACATTTGACTACATCCTTGAAAATATTCGACCGCCAGGGATACTAAACACATCTCTGCCTAATTTTAATGAATAGTTATGATCACCTTGATATTTTCTGAAACAGGCCTAGGATTATAGCAGCCAAGATATTATCTTATAACTTGTCCCTGACCTAATACATATAGTTGTGAATGAACTGGTGTATGATATTTTTTAACTTGCTGTTGATTTTCAAAACAGTGGCAACATTCTCCCATTGTCTGTCAACGGTATTTCGATTGTGGTATTCCTTTTTCATATGGTCCCATAAAACGGGCTCCTTGAAGACTTCAGCAATCGAAGATTCAAGAAAATGTATGACCGTGGGAGGATGACTGTCTGCCCCTGACACGAGGATTCGCACGACCGAAGAATCGACATCAAAAATTTTCAAAATATTTGATCTCTGCTTCCAGGTCGCTTTGTCTAGTTCCCTCTTCCTGGTCGCTCGCGAACGCTTCACGCGTCTATGTGGGACACATCAAACACATGTTTGTACGCGACACCAAGGTAGCTCCTTTACTACCGTGGCCGCTCGATGCTGCACATTTTTTTTTTATTGAGCACACCCCTACACCCTGTGTAAGGTGAAGCGCAGAAGCGTTTACAGCGCCCAACAGGGAAGCATGCTAAGTTCATGCTTGCCTTTATATCTCATGAGTTAAGGGCGTAGAAGGAAAAGCCCACCCGAGCACAGGTCATTGACCCACATCGGGGCCTGGGGGGCGAAAATGTAATAATAATAATAATTCATAGTAAATAAAATTTATAATAAAAAATACAAAATTTTAAATAAAATAATAAAATAATGATAATAATAATTGCACTGTAATAATAATAATAATAATAATAATAATAATAATAATAATGAACCATAAAGAAATAAAAAAATAAAAAAGAGAGAAATAATATATGTATGTTGTGTTGTCAATGGTAAGAGAAACAATTGAGCCCCTGCAATTTTGTGTAAATGAGGCAGAAAGTCAGATCAGCAACCTGGGACTTGGTCACAATTTTCGTGATGCCATATGGCAGCAGGGTCTACCATTAGACAACACATTATGCTTCCAATGTCTTGCATGGGACATAGCCTAAGCCTAGCCATGCATCTTTCGGCAGGATGGGAACTAAACACTAGTCCCTGCACATAATTTTCCCCCTTTTTGTATCAGAATCCTCTCATCGTATCCTAGGATTTTGTTTTCCTTAAAATCATATCCTTTAATACTGCATGCTGAGTAATGTGCCCAACTCATGAACTCAAACACACAAGATTTTAGCCTAATATTATACCCTAATTTTGCATCGCCACAGTCCCCTGGGTTTACCATACACCATAACTTTGTCCCAATATAATTTGCATTGTGCATTATGAAACACTGCTGAAAGGCCGATTGTCTCACCTTTTGTACCTTGGCCACATCCTGTACTACTGACCGCACCACTGTAATTAGCGTAATAGCCCACCACGCTCTTGCGGCGTTGCCTGGGATGATGTAAAAAACACTACATTTAAATACCAAAATCATTGTCTTCGTTACGTAATTGAATAAACAGTCTTTATTTACAAAAGTTGTGATACTATGTAGCCGTAATAACATCATAATGTGTCGAGTGAAAAGCATTGAACATACAGTGTTACAGTAAGTACCTATACGAAAACCTGTGGACATAATTCCCACACTCACAGTGTACAGTACTGTATTGTACAGGTGCATGTTAATAAACATTAAACCTCGCTAAACCAGTGGCCCTTTTTTTTTTTGCTGTGTTTATTTTTTATCTTTGTTAACACTAAATACTTCCTGTTCCAACTACGGGACATAAACGATGGCTAATTATCAAGCTATTCTGTGGTAAGGGACGTGAAAACCTCTTTTTTTTTATATACGCTTACATGACATGTAGGTGAGTCGTAATAGCTATTAAAAATTATATAAGATAATTTGGTCCCTCAACTTGTGCTAAATGAACCTATCTAGTAAAGGTAGTTTGTATATTTTTCAAAGATTTTTTTTCAGATTAAATCAACATGTTAGGTGCATTCTTACACCCTTAGTTACGAGAAACATTTATTGAACAGTACGAACATTTGTGACTGGGCCCGGGCCAACACAGCTACACATGAGTCACACCTGTAAGCTAGCAACTT